TGTGTGGGCGGTGGGTGTTAAGCTGTCAACTGTCAGGTAAGCAGGAATTACACCGTAGACACAGGCAGCCATTAGTGGAACATACATACTTGAATGGTTTATGAGACGATGGACACACACACACACACAGACACACAGACACTCAGACACTCAGACACTCAGGCTCCGTCCTATCGTCTAATGAGCTCTCAGTTGTTGCTTCAGCAAAGCATCTGCTGTCATAGGGTCAAGTAGACCTAAGACCCCTGTCTGACCTGGTGGTAATGTCAGTGTGGCCCTGCGCTCTGTCCTGTCTGCGTTTTCCCCTGACACAACACACCCATACATACATGTACAGAGGACTTTTGGATTGGACACAGTACTGTTTTTACAGGAAATACAACTCAGTGTCCAAACCAGGGCAAAGGGTTTGTTGTTGTTTCTGTCGTCTCCTCTCTCCATCCCCTACATTCTTGTATTTTTCTGCCTCGTCCAATCACTGTCTCACACACTCCCTCTTTCCAACCCCCCTCTGCCTCCCGCCCTTCCTCCCTCCTTTGCAGCAGTGCTGCTTTCCAGAGAGAGAAAATCACCAACCACAAGCGCGTTAAGCGGACAAGCCCCCTTCTGTATACATCCACACTGAGACACACCTGCCTTGCAGCTCGGTTCCAGCTCCATGCATTTGCTTGTCCAGTTACCTTATATTTTTTTGCAAAACATGGACAACAAGTTACAAATCCCAACACACACATGTCTGTGTTTGTGCTTCTCTTTATGGTCGTTCTCCACTAAAGACACGTGACATCAGAGCGGTTGTCCGCTCATCTATACACTGAGGTGTTTCAGAGAGAAATCCCACTGGTTTGTTCCAGGGATGTTCAGCTTAAGTGAATGTGTTTTGTTACTGGCGCATCAATGAAAATACTGTTGCCCACCTGAATGGAGAGTGTATATTCTTCACTCTCCAACTGTATGTTAACGCACAGTCTTATTAGCTTTACAGGGTTAGTAAGTCCATTATTGATGATCTCTACAACCTCTATCTGTCTTTACTTTCTTCTCTCCACCTTTGCACTTTCCTCCACATTGGAATCCCACCTTTCCACTTCCTACTCCTTACTCTTTTCCTGCACAGAAGAGAGGGGAGACTTCCTTCTCTCAGCAAAAGTGAGAGTACTGCAGGCATGCTGTGTGTAGTGTCAGGCTTGTCTGCCACAAATGACAGACAGACAGAGAAAGAGAGAGACAGAGAGATGAAGCGGTCAGTCATTATACAACACACACACACACACATACAAATATACACAGAGTCTGTGAGTTGCACAACTACAGATGTCAGCAGCATATTTATTTAAACAGGTTTCACAGGTACTAAAGCTAATGGAAGACATTTTAAATAATTGATATCCATGTACAGTAGATGGGTCATCACAGGAATTGCCGTCTCTCGTAATATGTTTCAAAATCATATCTGCAGGAACACATGATGACAAGCCCAGTTGCAGCCATGCTACCCATCTCTATAACCAGCACCTCCTTCTCTCTTAATTTGTTTCAGAAGGCAGCGCAGGAGGATGGCCAGGTGAGGAAGATGGACCACTGCTCACCCAGTAGCAAGGGGGCTGATGACCCTGGCAGAAAGGTCAGTCGTCACTTACCGCCATGCATCCATCCATCCATCCATCCATCCATCCATCTGTCCGTCACCTCCTACTGTTCTAGCGTCACCTCCTCTCGCCCCCTCCCCCATCCTCTACACACAAGTCAGCTCTCAGGGTCACCACACCTGCCCCCACTGTCAGACACACCCCATGTTCATCCATTCACAGCAGCACAGTTCTCTCTGACCTGCCTGGAATATACTACACAGCTGATTATAGGCAGCGCCCTCGAACCTACAGCAGGAAGATGGTGATAATAAAACTGTCCTGTCTCTGTGTTCAGTTTGAATCCACATCAAGGTAACTTAACAGTGCAGGGGAGACATTCTTCATCACCAGTGTGTTTTTTCTTTTCCCTCTGACAAACACACCCCCCCCTCTCTCATCTATTGCCTGATGGATGATCACTTATCCTTGTGTACTGTGTGCATGCATATATTAGCTTTATTAAATTAGGACACAAAGAGTGCCATGTGCAGTACAGAACATTTCCCTCTCCTGCTGCTGTTTCTCTCCATGTATTCATGCGTGTGCATGTGTTTGGAGGCTCTGGGATCTGATCTGCCATTGTAATTCAACCATTCAACCACAGAATTGTATGCACAGATCAATAAATAAGGATGGAAGATGTGCCACAGAGGCTAAAAAAGATAAATGAGGGTGTTCTTTGTCGTATTTATATGTTGTATGTGTATGTGATTTTGCGCAGGGTAAACCATCTCCGCCTGCTTTGGTGTTCAACCGGCTTTTTACAGAAATCAAGGAGGAGCCAGGACACCCCACCCTGGTCCATCCCAGGTACTACATTATCATTAACCTTGACTAAATATCACCTCTATATTTGGTCAGAACTGTTGGTTTCTTCAACAGAAAGACAAATACCAGCAGGTATATCTATGCCTTTCACATCTATTCTTTTTTTTTGCATTATCTTAGTGGCTGTTTGGAACTGCAGCATAAGTTCAAATATATTAGATACTTTTTTAAAAACAAAATGTATTGTTATACATACAGCTCACTTAATGTACCAGCAGATATTAGTCACTCACTTGTCAAAAAAGAAGCTTCTATTATTAAATCAAATTGTGGTCTTTTTCTCAATCAGAAGACCACGGAAACTTCTTCAGTACAATTCAGAGCAGATGGCGCTCACGCATTTTGGTAGTAATGCAGTTTTTCAGGCCGATCACCAACGTGCTGTCATGCTTAACCTAGTTTAAAGCTCCAGCCTCAGCGCTGTCTGGAGGGGACTGGTGTGGGGGAGGGGTTCAAAGGTCTTTTCTCCTCCTCTACTCCCTCCTCTCCTTTCTTCTTCTTTCTGTCCTCCCTTCCTCTTCTCGCCTCTTCTCCATGCAGCCAGAAATAGACAGATAGTGTTTGCTCGCTTGCTTTAGTGCATCTCCAGGCCCTATCTCTGTCTTGGTTGTATCCACTACCTGAACATTTGTGATAAGCTCAAGGTGTGTTTGGGCTGATATCCTGTAAACACATGATAACAAATATCCATGTTCCACACCGAGTGCTCACTTCCTGTCTTCAGATGTTGTATTTACTGTAAGTCACCCACTGACTTTTTACTGCTGTGATGAATGTCAGGTTATTGCTCTCACGGAGTAGTTATGGGTATAAATGTTGCTTAATATGTATCAGCGTCATAAAGTCGACATCTCACGTTTCTTTATGGTCTTTCCGGCGAAGCCAGAGAAATATGTGAAAAGCTATCACTGCTCTCATCAAGACCTCAACAAAAAACAAGACTACAGTTCTTCTCATTTCTCTCCTTTCAGTTACTACCTGTACACGTACGACAAGATGGTGGCTCCAAACGTGTCTCTGCAGCGGGAAACAGAGGTGTGTCCAGAGGTGCTGGCAACGCTGCTCAAACATCACTACAGCCGCAGGGTGCTAGAACATGACGAACCACCTATAGGTCAGTACTGACAGGAAACACACACCTGCTGTGTTGGCATTGTAAACATCTACGCTTGTGTGTTGTGTTGAAAAGGGTGCTTCTATTTGGACACCATTTGACTGTGTAAACTAGCAAAACTCTTTGGTCTACATATATTAGGAACTTTTTGACGACTTGGTGAGAGCACTGCAAGGCAGATGTGTTATTATGTGTTTTGAAACTTAACTATATGTTACATTTGCACAAATAGCAACATGAAACTGTTTTTGTGGCCACTGTAGCCGTTAACACATCAACACATACACAATTGCAACTGCAATTACGTTCACGTAAGAAGCTGGAAACAGTAGCGCTGTGAGGAGGTAAAAGGCTGGTAAAATGGCCTCCAATTACATTATTAGAAAACAGTAGGTTCCTGTGTATGTGACCTGGTGTTGCTGGCAGGTAAATAGAATGTTTATAGTCCGGGTTCCTTTGTCACATCTGTGTGGGAGAAAATAAGACTTTATTTAAGTATTACATTAAAAAAACAACAGTTAAAACTCTGACGCGTTTGATTTCATAGAAACATTATTTGACATGTATTTTAACACAGGCACATAGAAACATTATTTGACATGTATTTTTATAAACACAGGCATTTATTTGTTTTTGTTTTTTTTTTCAGGTTGATTTTGTGGTAATACATATTTAGTTATTTTAAAATGATGATACAAATGAGAGATGCATTTCATTATGAGGTATTTATGTGCCATAGTGTGAGCTTCAGTGGCAGGTTACAGTAAATTACTAATGTAAACAGCCAGTGGTAACAACCATGTCTGACACAGTGTCTTTTTTAAATACATCACTCACATACACCCTATACACCCTACACATACATTACACACACAGCAACTGCGGGGCATTTTACATTCATACTACATAGGCAGCAGAGAAGTGCATGTATACAAACACAGCACAGACATTCTGACTCCTGCAGTGACACACACATAACCATGAGCTGACCTTCATATAAAGACTCTGGGGGCGCCACACAACTCAGCGAGAAGGAGAAATGGCAATGACCTCCTCTCCATACATTAATACATTAATGTGTGTATAAACGCTGCATTAAAGTGTGCGCGCACATGTGCAAATCCCAGCTGTAGTTTCATCTGCCATTACTTCTCCTTGTCTGAGTTTTGTCTTTTATGTCTTCTTCTTCTGTTTCTTCTGTCTGATCTGTCTCTCTTTTCTTTCTCACTTCCTGTCTGCGTTCTATCGTCTTCTCTATCTGTCTGTTCTACCTCATCTCCTCTCTCGTCACATTCTCTCCTCTCCTCTCGTCTGTCTCCTGTTCTTTCGTCTCCCTACTCTGCTTTTTCTGCCCACTCTCTGTCCCCTGTCCTCTGTCCATCATCTTCTGATAGTATGCCTTACAACCATTTCTTCTTTCTCTCTTTTTCTGTGTGTCTCCTCTTGCTCTCACATTCTTCATACTCACACTCATGGTCTATGTAAATGTGTTGAAGATCTTGTCAACGTGTCAGTGTTTGCACACACACATACCTGTGTCCTCTGTAGTGTCAGACAGACATGTTTATGATGTACAGATACGTTGGTCTAATAAACAACTCAAATGTCCCACTTTTCCCTTCCTGTCACAGCGTGTCCCACTGCTACCTCACACATGCGTCACCCGTCATCTGTTCATGTGATCTTGTGTGTAGAAGAGTATAGCAACCTGTTTAACCCATTTTCAGTGATGTGTGCCCTAGAGGCCACATGAGGTGGGGTATGAGGGAAGCCTTTCAAAGATGTGCCGCTCCCACACAAGCTTTTAATTTCTCCTTTTCTCCTTTTCTTTCTCTCCGTGTCAGAGGGCACACACTGAGAAACTGTGGGCGAGCGTTCAATTCTTTGGCTGTTGCCATGTCATGCTCACGCTTGCGTGTTTTCAGGCTGAGAAAGAGGTGTGAGCTTCTCTGAGGTTGTGCAAGGTGTTACTCAGTGTAGGCGAGAGTGTTCATCAGCATGGCTTCCTCTTCCTGTCTTTCCATTAGCTTCTATTCGTTTCCTTCTAACTCCATCTTTCTCCTCTTTCCTCCTCAGATCTCCACGCGTCGCCTCCTGTCACTGCTGGCACTGAGGAGGCTAAATCCCATCATGCCGCCACTGCCTTGGCCGCTGAGAGGGAATGCCAAACCCAGGCAGTTTCTATGGAGATGAGCAGCCAGAGCTGCAAGAAAGCCGCCCACAGCCCTCCTCCTCCTCCTCCTCCTCCTCTTCCTCCCGCTCCTGCTTCGGTGTTGACGCCGGTAACAGAAGTACTGGCTAAAGACTCAGCCACAAACTGTGCTGCAGTGATGGTGGGGGGGCTGGAGGACGACAAGGACAGGATTGTCGTGGAGATCATGCAGATGTACAGCAGGCAGCAGGAGAAGCTGAACTCCACCTTGCAGAAGCAGCTGCAGCTGGAATTGGTGAGTTGGTTGTTGGAAAAGAACAAAGACCAAGATAAACGACCCCGAGATAAAGTAGACCGTAACAGTTCACGCCTATTACAGTGTCCTTGACATGAATGTGGAGGTTAGGTTCACCTCCCACTGAACTCTCATGTTTTCCTTATACCACCTAGAACCTCAGGTACCAGATGGTTTCACGTACTTATTTCAGCAGCACAGTTGATGTGAAAGTTTGAGTCTGAGTCTAAGGTGAAGTAAAGATCTGAGCAGGATAAAAATACCCTGTGTAAACAGATACACTGCCTGTTTAAGAACCTGTTTATTTGCTGATTAGTAATATGGTTTCTGCAGTGTTGATGGAAATAGTTTTTCCAACCTTAACGTCCCAGTTACGGATTTCACTTATCAAATTACATGGCAGTCAAAGCTCTTTTCTAAAATAAGGTGCGTGAAGGATGGAACTATTGTTTTGTTAAACTTAGTTCTCATGTCTTCAGGAACTGGAGGCGTTGCGTGGAGGCGAGGCAGCAAGGTTACGGGAACTGAGCGCAGAGCAGCGGGAGCTTCGCAGCGAACTGGAGGCGGTGCACAGCGAGCAGGTGCGGCAACTCAACCAGGCCCGTCAGGAACAGCTGGAGCTGGAGACTCGTCTGGAACAACTCAGACAACAGGCCTGCGCCTGTGAAACTGGAGTACAGCGCCAACAAGAGGCTCACTACACAGCACAGGTACAAAACACGTGCACCTGACGGTGCTGCAATTAGAAACCATCTGAATGGACCCTGGTCTCCCCAGTAGTACATTCCTGCAAATGAATCAACTCAAATGTATCTTCGTTTTGCAGTGTTTGCATCCATGTATCTGAGCAAGGCACACATTCAGAATTTGGGTCATTGGCAGCTTTTGTTTTAGTTTTACACTAGGCTGAATCTTAGATTGTGTACTTTTGGCCACAGTTGACGGCTGCACCCCCACTTCTGTTGTTTAGTTCTGTCTCCTCCCACCTGGCAGGGACATGGGAGGATTTGTTAGCATGGACTATTTCTGGACAAGTTAAAAGTTGCTAAAAAATTAAGATGATGAACAGTGGTTTTAGTTTTCGCAAAGGTAGGGCGTAATTTTAATGAAGAAAGATTGTAGACATAATCAAAAAGGTCTGATTTGGATCAATTCCCAGTTTGTAAAGTCAGCCCTGGCTAAGAACTGTAGTTTTGACCACGATAGATTAAATTGGAACAATAATGTACGACAAGATGAAACTGATCCAAATATTCACATCATTACATTTAACTTTGATTTGAACCGAAAATGGTTGATTTCCTGTTTACTATCAAACACTTCTCTACTAGACAGGAAGTCACAGGAGTTGATCTCCCCTCACCCCCCAAAATAGACATTACAATAATTAAAACAGCAGCCATTCTATGTTATGTCTTTTCTTTCCTTTTGAAAGTTGAATTATACTTAATTATGTAAAATTCCTGTCTGATAATATCTAATGATACTTTCTAATGCAGAGTAGTCAGAGGTTGACCTTGTGTCTGTTTCCCCCCCTTAAGTTGTCAGAACTCCGTCAACGGCTGGAGCAGGCAGAGGCCGACCGACAGGAACTGCAGGAGGAGCTGCAGAGGGAGCGGGAGGCTCGGGAGAAGTTGGAGCAAACAATCACCCAACTGAAGCAGCAGATGGCCCAGTCTGGCACGGTGGGAGGCAGCCCTTCTCCTCCTCCTACCCCTTCTACAGGACCCCCCACTGCCCACTCCCCACCCTCCTCCTCCTCTTCTTCCATCTCAGAGGCCCCAGCTTCTGGCCAAAAGTAACTGCTGCTCCCCCAGGTGCCTCCTTCCTCATTCTTCTCCAATCACCTACAAAGAAATCAGCCTAAGAAGAAGCAGAAGACCGCTCCATATGTGCATCTCTCGCTCCTATTATGTCAGTGTAGACTGACCTTTGTTTTTTGTAACTGAACATCATATAAAAGAAATGGTTCCTTTATTTGTTTATTTTTTTGTTTGTCTTCTCTCAGTATTTAAAGATTTTTTTGGGGCATGTATGACTTTATTTATAGTTTTTAGTGAACATATGGCTGCTTCCCAGACAGGCGTTGGGTCCAGGACTATTTCCCTCTGCGTTTTCTCCTATTGCACCCTTCACTTTGTTGCTCACTTTGGACTATTGAGCATAAGACTCTTCAGATTTCACACTTCAGCTCAGACACTCGTCTCTTCGTGGATATTACTTCACTATACTACCTGGCAGAGCAACCAGTGCCTTCGGACACAAAGCGGCACAAAGCGGTTGTTAGTCTCAGTTCTGTCTCTCTGTACCTACAGTCCAGACGCTCTAATACCAGCGAATGCAGGAAACTACACAGACATTTCAATATTATTTTTTGCTTCCTATAGAATACAAAGAAAGATAATGTATAATGTGTTAAAATATCAAATCTTTATGGAAGAGATGAACCTTTACTGTACAGTAAAAAAGACTTAAAGCAGATGTTCTAATACCTAATGAAAATACGCCATTTGTGACACTGAACTCGAGTGAAAATGACTGTTTTAAAGTGTGACGCCCACTAGGAAAAAAGCTAACAGACCGTCTGGGACAGACCTCAGCTGCTGGTGACACAAAGACGTTTCCTCTTCATCCTGCCTGGCACCACCTTAGTTCTCTTGTTGTACACCAAACAGGCCGTCAGCGTCTCCTCCCTCACACTTTCCATCGCTCTGTGTGTGTTTGGGCCATTGCACTCTGCTGGGAAACTCCTTAACACTGTGGTTTTCACCACTTTGGCCTAGACAGGAAACGCTGTGCTCTTTTCAGGCTTGGCATGAACAAGCTCATGAGCAGTGTTGTGCACTTATTGTGCTCTTCTCCTCCTCCAGAGTCTCCTGGGAAAGGAATGCGTCTGGATATGGGGGCTGGCTGAGCCGGCGTAGATTTTCTAAGAAAGAAGGGAAGCACTGTCTCACATGTGCAGTAGTTCTGCTGGGTTTCTATTATACTTTCAACATGCTTGCATGTGTGCACACTCTGAAGCGTGTGTATGTGTGTGAGTGTAGTGTGTAGTGCAGGCATTCAGGCATAACAATAGCCCCAGCATTCCCAGCAGATGATCAAAGCTCTAGTTTGTCCCTGTTTTCCTGGCTTCACTTTTTTTTCCCTCTCATTTGACTTCATTGTTAGCAGACAGTTAAATTCCCAGCCTGTTTGTCGGGGCATCATCTTCCTCTCACGTTATTCTGCCTGGTTGAACAAACAGCACCAGGCAGAGAGAGAGAGAGAGAGAGAAGAGAGGCTGAGGGGCCGGTGCAGACTGGGTGGCCCGGACGCCAGGGGTACAGAGGGAGTTTTTTTTCTCTCTCTCTAGTGCCATCAGAATGGGGGCAGCTGTTGTTGTCTGGGGGGCCTCTGCCCACCCTCGGGTGACACTATACAGGGTCCCTCATCTCTCCACACAAACCCAGCACCATCACTCTCTCACTCTCAACCAACCAGCCATCCATCCATCGTCTGTGTCATGTTAGCTGGGGTCATACAGTGTGGTGTGGGAGCCAGAAGGAGGAAGAGAGATGCAGCCAGAGGAAGAGAGAGAGAACTTTTTATTGTGTGCGTTGCCAGGCGAAAAGTGCTTTTTATTGCCTCTGAGGAGATCCCTGTAAGCCAGTGTGTATGTGTGTAAATAAGAACTGAAGAAAAGAAAGGGATCGCCTCTGCTAAACTCCAAGCTTTTTTTATGCATCTGCTCTAAATGCAAATTGATAGACATTCCACTGTGCTCCATCCTGTTGAATGCAGTTTTTATTACACGCTTCCCTTTACAGTAACAGATGTTATAGACTGGAGTAGTCACAGAAACAGGTTCCATTCAAATCTTTATTGCAATTATGAAATAAAATATTTAACATATTTACTAAGGATTTATATACTCTTTGTAAATACAGTAGTCATTAATATATTAACTGAATAATCTTCAAAAGGTTATACAAATTGGACTAGAACTGTGGCTTAATGCAGCCAGAATTGACCATTTTTTAAGTGTTCTTTTCCGACTTCAGAACTTGACTTTTGTCGGCAGGGAGTGAAATGTGCGGTCCACTCAGTCACAATGCAGGACAAAGGCAAAATAGGAATATGACTTTGTTACACACACGTTTCCCGCTTTTCTGAACTGACACTTTTCTTTATTTTGTGGATTTCATCTTGATGAACTGTTTAACTTGTAACTTAGCATCTTTTTTTCTGCTTTTCTTGCCCTCTGAGCAAAATTGAAAACATTTGCTTAAAAAAATAATTTTAGAAAAAAAGAGACAAAAACAACAAAAATGTGTTGCATGTTTGCTGCTTCCCCTTCTGTTTAGTGTGAACAGGCCACTCTACAGTTCAGTTTTATTGTGAAAAGAATCCCCCCCCATATTTCAAACAGCAACTATTGAGATGGCCCACATGCATGAACATTTAGTATGTGCAAGTTATTTTATACTATGGGTTCAGAGGTGTACTATAAAGTCGGTCATATTTGGGAAAGTTTCAGCTGAAATTGAATTGGAAGTGTGTGTGCGTGTGTGTGTGTGATAAGCTCCCACATTTGACTGATGCACGGCAGCTTGAAAAATGAAAAAGAAACCGATTGCTCGTGTAGCTCTTCATGTGTAGTTGTGTTTTCAGATGTTGAGATTATTTATTCTGGTCAGGACGCATCATTCAGAAGACGATCAGTATTAGTTGGTTTGATTACCTCTTCAGCAGAATAACAGAAATGATCCTGGTAATTCATCACATAAGAGAACATGATGCAAATATGTTTTATTTTCTGTGTACCTTGCATTTACTTTCTTATAATTTACACCATAAACAATAAACAAAGATCTAAATGGCGGGACAGAGAGCGCCCCCTGTATCACAGCGTGCTGAGCCTTTTTGCATATTGCAGCATTGTGAGAACTTGGCTACGGTGACCTTTTTAATGTTGTAGAAGGATTACTTTGGAGCTGGGTGTTTCACATCCAGCCACTCGCTACTCTGTGCTGTTTAGGTAGAATACAAGATGTCATTAATCAAAAATTATCATTTCTATACTTCCTGGTTTAAATGATAAAAATTGCTTTTCTGAAAAGACCTTTCCTCTGGATACTCTTCTGAATTACAAAGCCCAGTGATTGTGTAAGACCATTGCATACTTTGTTGCCAATACTACAGTGTGATGAGACTTTTGTTCTTGCATGAAATGAGACACTGTTCTCCTACCTCATGTTGTGATATAAAAAAGATGTTTTTTAAGCAGAAAACGCTGCATCTCTGTTTATCATCATTGATATTTAATAGTAAAATGACATACCTGTAAATGCTTTTAGCTAATACCTCAGTTGTATCTAGTGTTTATTTCTTTTCCTCCCTCGCCCCTCAATTCAGATCTTGTAAATATGCTCTGTATAGACAATGAACTTGGATCAAATTCAAGTAAAGTTCTGTAGTGTCAAACCAACGCTGTCTGTCTTTGCTCATCAGCCTTTGACAACGGTATTGTTCTCCTTATTCTCATATTCACATATTTAAGCCCTAGATAATTGACACAACCAGTATGTGGCAGGGCTCTGTTCTGTGCTTCCAGAACAGAACATGGTTCCAGGTCACATTTAAGTTGCAGCATCATTACAACTTTTGTACCTGGTGATAGACGTGTCTCCATAACACCCTCATATATAATGGATTTTCCTCCAGTGGAGTGAGACATGGAGATATTTCTTTTCTGAAATGTCCTCCATTAACTGGTTCCTCCATCACATTGTGTCCACTGCAGCTGAGCTAAATTCAAACCTCCTCTTACAGAAGCTGACAGCAGGAGCTTCTAACACATCCTGTGCCAACTGTGGGACTGGACTGACTACACATAAAATGACTGCTATTAAAGAGCTGTGGAGGAAGCGCAGCCAGGCACTATTCAGGCCCAGGTGTGATGGAAAACAAACACAGGCAGGAGGAAAAGCGTAGCCACAAACAACAAGAAAAAAGCCCAATCTCATAAAAATAAACACTGAACTTGGAAAACAGCGCTTGACTCAGACACTGTGCTCTGTAAATTGGTCGCTCACAGGAGGGTTTTGTAATGATTGAATCCTGCAAAGTACATGCAGCGCTGCACAGGCTGCAGGGTCTGTGTGGTGTGAACAACGCAGCTCTGCTGAAACTGGTGGTGAGACACATCCTCAAGGACGGAAGCGATGTCAGACAGAAGGAGAAGATGGAGAACAGTCAGGTGCCAGAGGAGGATGGTCACAAATGAGTGCACAACCCATTTTGCCCTGGAGGGGGCAGGTTGCAGTGAAATGGTGCAGAAATAGTCCAAACCTGCTGCAGTGACGACAGGCCACTGCAGAGTGTTGTGGACCGATACAAGGATTTGCATAGACACATTAATTTGGAATCTAGTCAGCTGCAAATCTTACTAGGTTTTGGATTTTTCTGTCATTGTGGGTGTAAATCTGAGTAAGGGGTGGAAGGTCGTTACAGGGTCACATGCAAACCCCGCACAAAGTTTCTACAGATGAGCTCTCTGCTTTCTCTGGACAAAAACAGGGACCAATTGATCCAACAACCCGGCCCAAGCAGGCTGAAAGGTATGGGAGTTTTTATTGTGAGATGTTTTGGAGATATTCTGTGTAAACAAATTGGTCCTTTGTGAGTATGTGGTGTTACCTCACAGTTGTCTTCTTATGAGGCCACCGGCTCAGAAGTGAAAAAACAATGTTGCCATTATATATATGGTACATTTTGTAAAATATAAAGTGATACACCTGTCTTTATCATGCAAAACGCTCATTCCCTGACCGGGAATCGAACCCGGGCCGCGGCGGTGAGAGCGCCGAATCCTAACCACTAGACCACCAGGGAACTGTTTAGCCGGGGCGCAGAATACTATTTTCAGAACAACTATTAACTGGTTTACAAACGTTTTGTACAATTAGATTTAATCAGTTACTTGATTTACTGTCTCAGAAAAATGCTATCAAAAATAACTTTGGCATATAACTGAGAGTGCGAAAGTAAATTGGTAAAATCATCGTAAAACTACAACAGAGATTCAAACAAGTAAAAGAAACGGATAATTATATAGTGAATACTGAACAAATGTTTCTATAATTGCCACATTTTGTTATATGCTGTATCGGCGAAATAATATGTAACAGTTTCCGCTACCTAATTTCCCAATTACACTCCAGTCCAGTAGATGGTGCTAATTTCCCGTTAAACTACTTATCAGCAAACGAAACAGAATCCTCATCATTAGCAGTGGCAGCTAAAGTCTTTAGTTTTAGTCGCCATCAGTTCATTGTATTAGAAATTGAGTTTTCAAACCGTTACACCGGTGTATTTCTCTAAACAAACACTTCACTCCGATTGTACTGTCATTGCGGACATGTCTGCCTCTCTGTGACACCGTAAGATTTTGTTTATTTCACTCAAATAGCGTCAATAGCTAGATATTGCTAGGTAACGTTAGCTGTCAACAAATGTCAGGTTTTCAGGGCTGAGAGCACTGACAGCATGTGACATTCACTTCAGGGCTGAGAGCACTGACAGCATGTTTTTAATGTTTTTAATGTCGGTTTTTAATGTCGTGACCACGCGTTATAAGTATTGAAGCTGACCTGAGTACCTCAGCCTAATGTTATACATTCAATGCTGCATTAAAAAAACCTACGAGAGGTTAAATTATTGGCTGCCCGTTGTCAGTTCCTACAGTTACTCGAGCTGTGGTACCACCGAAGTAGTTAAAAATATTAAATCACGAAATTTTAAACCTCAACAGGCAGTGGTTTTATTTGACATTGTGACGAGCTTAGGTTCATACTGTATGTCCTTCATGACATTCTTTATAAATTTGGTGTGTACAGTTTTTGCTAATGTTTAATCCAATCCTTGTTGTTACAATAAAACTGTGTTGTTATGCACCTGACTGCATTAGATATGCTGTTTTGTACTTGTTTCAGTTGCGTGTGTAGTTATAATTACCTCGTTCTTTCATTCATCATAACGTTGATGAACCTTTTAATGGTGGCTAAAAATTTGCAAAGAGAAAAAATAATTTTTAAGTCTAAGTCTAAAAGTTAAATCAAGCATTCTGCATATATTTTTGCAGAATGGAGAATTCAGAGACAAGTTCCACTTGCGGAGGCCTGACAGTGCCGGACGGAGTCATGGCGCGACCCTCCGGTCCCCCTGGTCAGCTGGCCGAGTCAGCCAGGTCCTCCAAGCACAGGGAGCACCCATCCAAGTCACCAAGGAGACGACGGGAAGGGAAGAGGTCGCAGCGGCGGGGGGATGGTCATGAACAGCTGCTCTGGGAGACGGAGAGGCGAAGGTTACCAGGCCAACACGAGCATTTGGAGCCCTCTGGGTCAGCGAGTGACACACTGGAAAGCTCACCTAAGAGGTCTGCTTTGCAGGTTACCAGCTGGTCTGCTAAGCCACTGGCATAACTCTGCTTCAGGACATAATATGATGGTGGCTTATTTCTTTTGAATCCTCACAGGAGAGCCCACTTTCTACATGGACCATATCCAGCCACTCACTTTGGACCCAAAGCCTGTATTCTTCCCAATCCAACTTCAGTCATGTAAGCATGAGGGTGCTGATTGAATTAAGCTTCAGTAACATTATGATTTGTTTGCTAGGGGGCATTGACACGGCACGCTTATGTAACTTTGTGAGATAAGATAATAGGAATGCTGGGATTGGATGTTTCTAGTCCTGGGTTGAATCACTGTTTAGATTTCAGTTGCTTTTTGTCAGCTCATGTCAGAGTTTGTTCCTTGTACCTGACAAAACGTGACTGCGTGCAAAATGCCTGTCATCCATAATGCAAAGGAGGAGAGGACTGACGGGTGAAGTAGAATGAGTTTTTACATTTTGGTCTGATGTTTGGAATTTAGAGACTACTTACACAGATATTACATGACTTATGTAATATGACTTCAAAAAATTAAATTTAAAAACATGATCATTATACTGTATAACTCTAGATTATATTTGTATTTAATCACTTGTGCTTTGGTACCGAGGACTCCATTTGAGTACATTTTTTGTTTACAAGGTGACTTTCTCAGACATCAGGGGTTTCAGGGTTGTTTTTTTTGTGAGGCTAAATTTACTCCCTCGCTGAAAGTGTCTGTGTTCTTGTTTGTACAGGCACATTCAGGACCCAGCCAGCCAGCGGCTCACCTGGAATAAACCTCCAGTCAACGTGCTTGTCATCAGGAAAATCAGAGATGAGAGCTTGGTGGAGCCTTTCAAAGAGCTCTGCAGATTTCTGGTGGAGGTACATGAAAGATAAAAAAAAATCAATTGAAGTAAAAAAACAAAAAACTTGTCTGATTATATAACATTGTTAACATTTGCCCTGACTGGTGCAGTCTGAGGTATGATGGTCTGTCTCTGTTTGTTTGGGCTGTTGTACTGAGCCATGTCTTGTTTTTTTTTTTCTTTCTCAGGAGAAGCAGATGATGGTGTACGTGGAACGCAGAGTTGCAGATGATGCTTTGCTGTCAAAGGACGAGGCCTTTGGCTCCATACGCAACCAACTCTGCACCTTCAGAGAAGGTGAGTCTGGTCAGAAGGAATGAACATGGACTTGAGAGACCAGCGATGTAACTTTTCTCCTCAGAAAAGACCCTAAAGTTCCTATTCTGACAGGACATTATTTAACTATGCTCCTTTGGCTAGTAGTGGCGTGGACTTTTGGCGTGGATTTTTATTTTTCCTCTCCTGGTTTTACTGGTTTAGTTTTTCTTCCATCAAGCGAAAGAAACATTTCATAAAGTGCAATGGTTTTTTTTAGAGAAGGTTTTGTAAGAACCACATTGCTTTAGTGTTAAGTGTTGAGACTCTTAACAGTGTGTTTTCATGCACTTGCAGGTTTTGATGACATCTCTGATTGTATTGACCTGATCATCTGTCTTGGTGGAGATGGAACTCTGCTTTATGCCTCCTCTCTATTCCAGGTAACTGGAGTCATGTTATGACTATAACATTGTGTGAGAAAATAAATTAAATCCATTCCAAAAATGTTAAAAAAATAATTTGGTCTGGAACATTTTTTGTGTGATTCAGTAGCAAGACGTCTTATAAAGTGATGACTGGTGCACTAACATGGAATTGATGAATGAATCAGAAACATTCGCATGTCTACTCCGCAGGGAAGCGTTCCTCCAGTTATGGCCTTCCACCTCGGCTCGCTGGGTTTCTTGACTCCCTTCAAGTTTGAGTCATACAAAACTGAAGTTGCCAAAGTATTTGAAGGTAGACTGCAGAGTTCCAAGCTAGTTTTCCAAAATGACTTAAATTTGGAAATTTTAAATTTAAATTAAATTTGCATGTCCAGATGTAAAGTCCACCAAAGCAAAAAATTATTTTGTGAATTAGTGCTATAAAACTAAATAGACTTTTAAATTGAGTTGCAATGGATTTTTCCTCAGGAAATGCTGCCATCACTCTGCGCAGCCGTCTGAAGGTCAAGGTGGTGAAGGACATGCTTCAGAGAACGGGCAGAGAACCAGCCCAGCAGCCACAAGAGCACAACGGCATCCTGACTCATGGACACAGTGAAGCTGGAAAGGTCACGCTGCAGCTACAGGTGAGGGAGATGGATTTAAGGTCGACAAGTGATCAGCCTACAATACTATTACACTTCATGTCTGTATGTTTAAATTTAGGACAGATATCTAGACCTATATGATATGGGGTTTATTTTCAATCTGTAATTCACTTTGTCACAGAAGACAACACACGCTACCACAGTCTCATCAGAAAGAAAGTCATGACTCACTGGTCTCAGCTCAGTCCAGTTTATTGTCACTGTAGACAACTAACAACATCTAAACACATCCAAATAAACAGATTCATTTAATTCAGTAAAACAATAAGTACCACTTTGATTGCTGTCATGTTTTCCTACGTTTATCCCAGCAGCTCCAACGGTGTTGTTTATATCTGGTTCAGTTCTTGGACCTAATTATTCACAAACATCTGGTTCATTTTCTTAATATTTATGACTGTAATATTCAGACATTTCCGGTGACGTGGTTTTCGTTCTCCTCCCAGGTAAATTTAGGGTCTTACGAACAGCTCAGTCAACAAGCGTCAGTCGGTTGCCGTGGTGACAGTCATAATAGAGGTGATTTTGGAGAAGAAGTCGATGTTGTGAAGTTTTGTTGAGCTGGTTGCCTTGGACACAGTGGCGTCAATGGTGCAGTCCATATTTAATGAGCTCTGAAGGTCTTGGTCTGACACTGTAACTAAACAACATTCCATGCACACACACGCACACACACACACACACACAGTTGGACTCCCACCGAGTCAGTTCAGTCGCCTCCTCATTTGTTGCTCTGGAGATTTTCTTCTCATCATCACCAGACAACGATGGATTTTTGTGGTCTCTGAACCAATCTCTGACCTGACATTATTTCACTCCTGCCGTGTCCTACAGGATGTTTGAGTCATGCTCAGCTGAACCTGCTGTACTTTTTGTGAAACATTACCCTGCTGCTGTCTGATTGCTCACTGTCTGTTCCCTCCTGTAGTTTGCTGATGTAATGGTGGAGTTTTTTGGTCCCCTGCAGTTTCTGCTTAGTGATTTTGAGTACTTTTTGACTTCATACTTCTCTGTTAAACTGTTAAATGTATTCAACATTAAAACATGTCAAGAAAAGGTTGGTATTTATATTAGTGGACATTACTAATGTCAGGTCATTTATCCCAGTACTGTAGTACTTTTGACTCCTTAGTTTGAAGTAAAAAAAATCCTTGTCTTTGTCTTTCCTCTCATATCATATACTTAATGTTTTTCTAAAGGTTACAGTACAATACAGTATGTCCATCACGAATATGAGTATTTAGTGTTTCTGCCTGTAGATGGCACTGCAGTTACACTTGTTCCCTTGGTCACAGGATGGTCAGAATTAATATAATGTCAGGAGCAGTAAATCTTAATGATTTCAACCAAATTACTTGTCATAAAGTAATTAGCACTGCCTGAGTTTCGATCCTAACTGTGTGTGTGTTTCCATAAATGTGTTTTACAGGTGTTGAATGAGGTGGTGATCGATCGAGGTCCATCTTCTTACCTGTCCAACGTGGACTTGTACCTTAACGGACGACTCATCACATCAGTGCAGGGAGACGGTAACAACAGACATTTTTGAGTTTATATTTGTCTTTGACCGTGGCCAGCTGTTAATTATAATTATGTATAAGTATGTAAATAAACACTGCAATGCCAACAGGTAAGTATTTTTTTGGATTCTGTTTTAATGTTTTGATTATTATAACCCTTCTTAGAGTAGATCACAACCAGGACCAGGTCCTGGTTCTGTAGAACATTTGAATCAGTAGCAGTTAGGCTTGAAATTCAAAGAGTCAAAGATATTTCAGCCCTCGACTTCTACTGACTTGCACAAGCTGGGCCAAAAAGCACAGGGTGTAAACACACGGCAGGACACATTTACTGTATGGAAATGAGTTGTATTTGAAAATTAATGAAATGTAACCTGCCTCCCTCTCTGACTCTGTCCTGCAGGTGTGATTGTGTCCACGCCCACAGGCAGCACAGCGTATGCAGCTGCAGCCGGAGCTTCAATGATTCACCCTAATGTCCCAGCCATCATGGTCACACCCATCTGCCCACACTCACTCTCCTTCAGGCCCATCGTCGTCCCCGCTGGAGTGGAGCTCATGGTAAAGTCATTCCAGTCACTGAGTGCTGAGTTCAGACCTGATGTCAGGTCACATCTCAGCACTGATAAATTCACATCAGTACTAAAAAAAAAAAGGAGGACAGTATCACCTGTAACATGTCGTACCTCAGTTGTATTGAAATGAACTTTGTGGTCAACAACGGTTAATTCCGTTTGCTTGTCTCTGCCGCTACCGCTGTTTTCTGTTGTTCACACAGAACATTTCCTCTGTGAGATTTCAATAAGATTTGACCAGGTTAATACACGTCAACCGCTGAACTTCCTAGAATTCCAGGCAGCTTGGATGGTGACAGTCTATCCTCTTCCCTCTTTGAACAGATCACTCTGTCTCCAGATGCCAGAAACACAGCCTGGGTTTCATTTGACGGCAGGAAGAGACAGGAGATCCAGCATGGAGACTGGTAAAGTTCACTGGCCGTCGTCTCAACTGCTGATCGACCAGTTTGTTCATTAACTGATGTAATCTTACAATTTATTTTTTCTCCCCTTACAGTATCAAGATAACCACTTCCTGTTACCCGGTGCCATCCATTTGCTGCCACGATCTGGTCTACGATTGGTTTGAGAGCCTGGCTCAGTGTTTGCACTGGAACGTCCGTAAGAGGCAAGCCCGACTGGCCGAAATCTCTGACTCGTCAGACACGGAAAACTGAATCCGTCCGACTTCACAGCAGCTGAGTGAGTGAAAATAAAAACACTTAATCTGCAGACATTTTTACACAAGTCTGTTTATACAGATTCATACTTATTCAGCACTTCCTGTTTCTTCAGCTACAACAGTAGCTTTAAAGGAGAGAGCATGAAACTTACTTTCTTACAAACAAGACATTGACTACCATCAAAACAGTAAAAAAAAAGATAAACTGTGTGGAATAAGTCATCAATTATTATGGACTTGTGGGTCCAAAGGTAAAAAGAATGCAATGTCTTCTAAATAAAATAAGTCTTGACAAGATTTACTGTCAAAATAAGAGTCTTTGAAGAAAAAAACAAAACAAAACAAAAAAAAACTACAGATTTATCCCACTGGTGCAAATACTTTTCTGCAATATTTGGGGCGTTCAGCAATTTCTTTTGAGTTTTACTTTTCTGTTGAATTATTTTATTTTGTCATGACTTTTCGATGCACCACTACGACCAGTCCGTGACATTTTTCTCATACATGAAACCGATCCAAAGCTCTACCTCAGATATTAATTATATTCGTCAGGCTTTGACATGCGAACAGTCCCACTGTATCCAGCGGTTATTGCTCTTGCCTTGCAGCAAGAACGTCAGCCGTTCCTTGGTTCGATTCCTGGTCTTTCACTATGAGGTTTGTACGTCCTGCCCAGCATATGCGTCGGTTTTCTCTGGGTCTTTTGGTTTGTTTACGGCCCTGTGATGGACTGATGAACTGCCCCGACGCCCTCAACTGACGACACCTGAAATTTGACTCCAACAATGATGAATGAAGACGTCAAAGTACGTGAGAGCTTAGGTTTAAATAAACTTTGTTGTAAATCTGTACATATATGCTATTAGGATTAAGTTATTTGCTGTGATACTTACATAATATATTAAATTAAAATAGACAATTAAAATAGAGATTGGTGACTGTACATGTCACTTTAAGTTAAGAAGCTAACATGCAGTATTTCTTTATCGTGCAGTTGTACCAAAAAAACTCACTGTAATTAATTTATTGTCCAGGGCAGAAAACACAATAAAAGTGTCTCTCAACATTTTTGGCTTAATTTTGTTTTTTAGCTATGTGTTTCACATACTCACATACAAATACAAACTACATACACCACAGTGCTAGAAAAATCTCCCAGGACTCAGTTGCTTTCTCATTTTTTTATTGCAATAATAAGATACAGATATATTTCCAGACATCCATTTTTTTAATTAAATTATGCTCCAATATTGCATGGGACAGTATTCAGAATGACACCGATCCTAAAATGGACAGCTAAGTGATCCAAAGACAAGTTTCTGAGCAGAGATACGACAGATTTTTGTTTTTTTCTTCCACTTTTCCGTCCCCCATAAATGTGTGATGAGAAGCAGCAGCATAGAGAGTATTAATAATACTACAACAAATAACAGAGTGATACTGTGCAACAGTCAGAAACAAGTGGGAGACTTTGTTTTTTTTTAATCTTTTTTTTTTCTTAAAGTATTGTGCTAAGAGTAAGTGACTTATTTTTGCCAAGTCAGATGATGACGGAAATGACAGACAGCTGTTACTGTGTTACACAAGCCACAAATTTTATGACTGACTGTTGTTAATTAGACAAATACAGCTGCGGCCGAGCACAACCGACCGGACGACACATTCAATGTGACTGTAACAAGTGTAAAAATAGTTGCTGATGATTTTCTAATAACATTTCTGTGGTTTTCAGATCCCAGATGATTCCCTTAAATAACAAGTACCCCCATTAACATATGAAAACAAAATGGCCGTAATAAACATGTGCCGTATAATTCATATTTCCAGTACAAAAGAAAAGAAGTTGTAATAGTATCTGAGACTGTTTGTATATATTTAATATCAATATAATCCATTTATAAATGATAAACTTCTATGTTTTTTTTCTTTCTCTTTAATATAATTCTCACTATGACTTGACAGAAAAATCTACTGTAGACATTTTCCAGTCAGGTTTTGTGAATAACAGTTTGGACCATGGCAGACAGGAACTGAGCTCTGACTGAGGACTGAATGGACTGACTCACATCAGCATGCTGAGCTAAAGTCTTGTGTTTTGGCACTGCATTTTGATTTTTTTTGTTGTTAATATTTATGTTTGGCTCCCGTACTAAACACAAACTAGACAAACCTCTAGACTGACAGGATTGCACTGAGATTATAAACTGTTAATCCAACAAGCATTTGACAACAGTGAGTACCTCCAATTGTTGCTTCCCTGGAACAACATGATCTGTTTATAACTTTAATTTCCTTAGTAAACTTGATGAATTGGTCCACCCGGCATCTGTTTCAAAGCAGATACGCTGGTCACTTTGGCCAAAGTGCTGCCTGAGAAAACTGTCAGACTCAACAACAACTACTTTTGATTAGTTCATAGTTTTGTTTTTAAAAAAAAAGCAAAGTCAGGTGATTTTCAGTTTCCTTCAGGTCATGTGTGCAGGATTTGGCGACATCGTGTCACATGTTCTGGTGGATGATCTCTGGCTTCACTGATCTAGAAAATAGAAAATATGGTGGACTATTATAACAACAGAAAATGTCTCTTAATTCGAGTCTGTCTGTCTGTTACCCATATCCTAACAGTTGAGTATGTTTTGGTTCCTTACTCCTGAATAAAACATCTTTAATACCTGACATTTTCCATTAGGTTTATGGGCCAAAGGACAAATCTATTGAGAAAATAAATAGTGGTTAAAAAAAAATTACAAAATTGAAAAATACTCTGCTATAATCTCACAAACAAGAGACTGAATGCTGCATTGTGGTCCAGTCTTTAGTACTTGTGTCCAAGTTAAAATGTCACAAAGTTCAGGCTTAGTCAAGTCTTAGGCTTTGTGGTCAGCGACAGATTCACACCTAACTGTTTATTTACTCCTGTGATACAGAAAAATTAATTTGGTGTCAATTCACCCTGAGTTAGAATCAGAGTTAAAGAGGAAGAGTCCAAACTGAGTCTTAGGTCCAGTCTAGTTTCTGTTTGCATCCCCAACCATGAGCTGTTTGTCCCAGACATTTTTGATGACAAGAGGTTAAAATGGAATTTATTACAAGTCAGTGAAGGGAAAAAAAAAAGTTCAAGTCGAGTCTCCGTGGATTAGAGTTAGTGTGAGTCCTAACTGCTCAGGTTCAAGTCAAGTCACGAGTCCTGGACTGGACTCCCAACACTGGTTACAGTAAAAGTTGTAAAGGGAGACAAAAATAATGACTGAGAAGACAATGGAGTTGTTGGTCTGATGGTTTTTGTTGACAGCTTTCTCAGGCAGACATGACCGGTGGTAGTTTTGTTTACATGACATAAATAAGATTAGAGTGGGAGGAGTCTGATCTGTCATTTGTCCTTTATTTTAATCTTCCCCTCCACCGTTGTAGTCATTGACATGTAAGAGTCAGGTCTGTCCTGGTTTTGGTCTGTTGGTGGACTTTGTTGGCAGCCCAACAAAAACAGATGAAGACTCTGTGGGCCTGGATGAGCTCAGGGATCCAGAACCTTAGGTCCTGGATCACAGGAGGGCATGAGACAGACAGAAGAGAAGGAAGTAATGGGGTTATATAAGTTTATGTTTCAACAGTCTGAGGTTTAGTCTCACAACCTTTGTCTTCTTTCCTGTCAGTGAAGGGAACCACATCCTCTTGCTCTTCCTCCTCCTCCTCCTCCTCCTCCTCTTCTTCTTCTTCTTCTTCTGTGTGCTGCTCCAGCTCTTCTCTGGTGATCATCTCAAAGTCGTTTCCATTGCTGTGCTGTGATCCCTCGTCCTCACGTCTGTCGCTGTCTGTGTCCGACTGCCGGTCCGTCCCTGTCCCCTCCACTTCTGCGTCTCTACTCTCCACCAGCCCTGCCTCTTTGCTCTCCTCCTCCTCCTCTTCGTCCTCCTCGTCTCCGTCTTTTTTCTCGCTGTCTGACTTCTCCTCACTGTCTGATTTCTGAGCCTTGGTAGACGTGGAGCCGTCCTTCTCCTCCGTTTTGTCCGAGCTCTTCTTGCTGCTGGCCCGTGGTCCTTTGTACTCGTGCGTGTAAAGTGGCCGGAATGAGTCGATGAAACCCACATCTGCTGTCAGGTTGGGAAGGAACCAGAAGTGGTGGCGCCCTCCAGTGACCACCCAGATGATTAGGAAGAGGATGCAGCGGGCTGAGGGAGGAAAAAAGGAAGAAACCAGTGAGATTAATATTTCTTGTGCATGACTCTCTGTCTGCTGCTCCAAGTTCAAAGTTATAAAATGAAGACAATTTGCTGCAGACTTGAGTCTTGGTTTTTAACCCTTTGCAGCACTTTGAACTCTGTCTTACCAACAGCTAGAAGCAGTATACTGGCCACGAAGCAGCCTGCTGCCACACTCAAGTAGTAAACTCCCACACGCATTTCTGCTGGCCACAGAGGGAACAGTGTGGCTGCAATGACGGCGATGACTGAAATGACACAACACACAAGATGGTTACAGCAGCAGTGTTTGGTGGAAGACTTTAAGAACAGACCACGTTCTTTACTCACCCAGGATCAGTCCCATGGCAAATGTCTTGAAATGAACAGGATCATAAATCCACACGTAAACCTGCAGCACAGGGATATGTTGGGTGTTTTCTTTGGGGCGTCAGTGGCATCAGTACAATCTGCTCTGGGTGCAGACTCACCTCGTTCCCGTCCAAGAACAGCTGATCTTCATGAGGCTCCAGTTTGAACTTTTTCTTCACCTCTTTCTTCTTCTTTGGGGTTTCAGGACTGTCATCCTGTCAGTCAGGAGAGAACATTTTCCTGAGAGTTAGTTTGTTTACAGTAAACCTGATGGTTTGAGTAACACTTCTCAACATAGACCTAACGTTTATTTCTGTAATTCTATGTGTATTGTCCTGTAAAATGAAATGCATGTTTAGTATTTTTAGTGCATTTACTACATCTAGGTTGGATTTACATGAAACAAAGTTTATTTCATGGACTTTAAATCATCTGACACATGTTGTACTTTGAACTTGCATAGCAAACTAACGCTGCTGCTAGTTTATTTTGAAATTACGAAATTTATCTGATCGGCTGAGTCACGTCAACAGTGACTAGTCATAAAGCAAAGGCACTGAACTCAGATCAAGTCCACTAAAGCAAAGGCACTGAACTCAGATCAACTCCACTCAGTCAGAAGAGTTGTTGGACACTTACACTTTTGTCTTTCTTAGTTTCCACAGCCTCAGACTCCTTCTTCTTCTCTTTCTCCTTCTCCTTCTTGCTCTTCTTTTCCTCCTCTTTGCTGCTGTCACTCTTGGGTTTCTCCTTCTCTTTTTCCTTCTCTTTCTCCTTTTCTTTCTTTGTGTCTTTCTCAGGTTTTTTCTTCATCACTTTAAGAGCTCGGTGAAAGAACTGCCTCTTTAGAAGTCTGCAGAGAAATACATGAATTTACCCCAGGACAGTAAACAAATATACAGATTAAAATGTAATATCTGGAGTTTTACAAACCACTGCTGCAGTGAACAAATGTTACTGATATCAGTAGTCAGAATGAAAATGTAAATCCCTAGAAATGTTGTGCTTTCCTACTGTACTTGAATGTTACACTGGTACAACAGACAGGTATTGAGAAACAAAAACAAACAAGTTTCCATTCAAGTCTGGTTAAAAGTTAAGTCTGGTTAAAACGTGCGTTGGTTTGTTTGGCAGCTGACCTGTTGCAGTAATCGACCACAGACTCCCTGGTAGTGAACAGAGCATCCTCTCCTTTCTTAGCCTTGGCCCACTTAGAGTCCAGCAGACAGTCCACTGCTTTTGAGGCTAAATGTAGGAACACATGTTACTAGGACAGTAGATATTTATCCACATGATGCACATGATATATTCAGTTTATGTACAGATTTGTGTGTTTAATATTTTATTTTAGAGTTAACCTATAACCTGAAGAGTGTTGAAAAGTGAACACTGATAAGGTTACCTGTTGTGTACACCTCCTATATCAACAGAAAGATCATTGTAGTCTGGTTTGTGTCACCAGGATGAACACAGCTTCAATAATGACTATTCTTTCAGAGCTTGTTGCTTGATGTTCACAGAGATATTGACTTGAATGAGCTGGATCTTTAACCTGAGGCGACCTTTTAGTGGTCAAAAAGTAAACACCACTCCTAACAGACAACTGTCCTTTTGAAGGACGCTGCAATGAAAATATCTTCTATTTCTTTTAAATAGACAGTCTCTACACTGTGCATCACTATAGCAACAGCCACACGGTGCAGGATTTATTTACTTTGACTAAAACCAACACAACTGATTGCCGTCATTAGAAACCTCTGTGTGTGTAAGAGAGAGAGCATGATAAATAAATGAAAATCAGCTTCTGACTTTCAATTCCCACTCCACTCTCTCCTAGGGCAATGTTCAGATTGCTTGTTGCTCAATTCCCATTTTTTGGCACGATTGTTCACATTACAGGTAAAATGTGACAGCCATCTCATCTACCACGGCACAGACAAATACATGACGTTACACAATGTAGTTGCTGCATGTTGACACCTTCACCTGTCTCCTCACAACACAAACTAAGACTTACCAACAAAGTAGTCAACCCTGTGACCCATCATGTTGGTGGACTTGGTGGGGCAGTTGAAGCGGAGGTACTTGGCTGCTGCCTTCTCCTCCTTGGTGAGTTCACTCACTTCCTGCAGGGGCCAAAAAAACCATCCAGATTAATCCCCAGAATCACACACACAGCACACACACTGCTGCAGTATCCCGGTCAGCTGCTGTGACCGGCAACATGAGGAAAACTGCTCCATGAAACAGGCCTTTGTTTGAGGGGAACAGGTAGAAGTCACACTGTGCCATTTCATGAATCTCTGCTACTGAGAGATCGCTGTTGCAGTTAGATGATCCAGCTGGTTTAAACCCAGCAGACCAACTGGTTTCAGCTAAAAGAGGGTCTTTGAAGATAAGATTGTGCAACGACTAAAGTACAGTCCATGCCAGTTTATATTACGTTACAGTTTTTGTAGCATTAGAAACCTGATTACATTTTCCAAGAGGTCCCTTCAAGTACAGCTGTACCAGCTTTACACACATTCAAGTTAATTAAAGCATTAATTTCACAAAAGAATGTCTGCAATGCAACTCAACCTGAAATGCACAAGGAATCCATTATAAAATAAGACTCTTCTACGGTCCTTCTTTGACTGACATTGCATCTCAAAAAAAATCAAATGAAAAACTATATATATAAGATTGTATGTAAAGTATGCAATATATATTTCTTTCAATTGTTTGTCTTTATCCTTTTCCCCTTTCTTTTGAATCTAATCCAGAGATTTTGGGGTATAATTATATAACTGTAATGAAAGAAAAACAAAAAACCAGTTGGGCAGATTGTGTATTTTAAAGGATACAGAGCAGCTGTCTTAAGGAAGCAAAAAAGAAGAAGAAGCAATACAAGTGTAAGTAAGACTTCCTAAACTCAAATGAAACTGACTGTATTAAATGTTAATTAATTTCAACAGTTTGCACCTCTGTTGTTGTAGGTGTGCAACTTCACAGAACAGAACAAAGAAGCAGGCCTCTGGTGTGGACAGTTGTTCAGTCGTATTATTAACAAAGCTGCCGATGTTGACCGCTGGCTCAGACAAGTTGGTGACTTTTTTTTATGTACATAAGGCAAACAACAATTTCCAATCTATATGTATAACTTTTATTTCAAGTTCCAGAACCAACAAAGACACTACTGATCTGAAGTATTCCATGCAGGTGGATCATAACCAGGTAAGAAGATACTTAAAATGTTTATAGCACCTTCTTCTTCTGCTTTTTATTTCTGCATTCTTTACAGTGACACATTCTTTGCAGACAAAACCAGCTAACTGTTTTTTTCATCTATATGTGGCAATTTTATTTTTAAAAGGATTTGCTGGAACAATATAAAGCAAGATCAACGTATTAAAGGGATTGACACTCGAGTAGGTCTGTCTGTGTGTACCATCAATGTATGCAGTTTACAGCATACATGATGCGTACACTTACAGTTATGCTGTTGATATTTACAGCTTCTCCCGCCTGCCTCATATGTTACAGTATGAATCACTCTGTTGATACTGCATGACTAAAAGTCGCACAGATAGTTGCAGGTTATGTAAATACGTCTGCTTTGAGCTGACGCAGCTCTGCCAGCAGTTCTCTCCATTCTGCCCAGGCTCTCCTCAGCTCAGCACAGGTATAAAGCTGTTATTACACTGGTAATATCTGTGTGTAGTAGCAACATAAAGCAGGGTGGAAATCCACACGCTCAGAAATATATATCTTTTTAAAAAACCAAAACAGTCATATTTGTTGTCTCCAACCAGCTAATGCTAACTTTTACTAGCCATCATTTGGCAATAATCGTCGCCTTTAAACTACTCCCCACCCATGATGTTACCGTAAGTAACATCCCTGCAAATGGACGTCTTTCTATATGTTGTCTTGCCCTTCATCCTATACCATTAGCGTTTAACAGTCAGTGATGTTACCTGGATCCGTTTCTTGTATCTCCTGCGCTCCGCCATGACGCTCCAACTCAGCTCGTCTAACGTGAGCGACACAGCGAGCGCGCATTTACTTTGTAGTATCGCGAGATTACCGGATGATCTAGTATAATTACACTGTAGATAAGTGAACAGTAGTTATTTATTAGTTATCGATTAGGATTAGCTCTAATGCTTGTTGAAATTTATGAAATTGCATTTTGGCATAAATATTAAACAGTTCAGAAATATCAAATAAGGTTCCTTCTAGGAGAATTTAACTCACGGAAATAAATAAGATAATAAATCATTATCCGTTTTTGACCCTAAATAAACAACATTTTTAAAGACTTGAGAAGAAAACAGTTACAAATATGAGAGCTTTGTGGCTGGTTTTTAACCAGCGTCATCAGATTTAGAAAAAAAGGCCATGAATCAATTTTTCTGTTTAGTGAGAAAAATATAACACTCCATACTATTACAAAAAGTCTTTATTTACAAGAAAGTAACAATTTAATATGAGTACAATTCAGTATCAATTAATTAAACATCTGTAGTGTAACATTTCAAAACCTTTTTAGAGTTTAACACTACAACCAGAATATAGAGGTCAAAGTCTGTAGAAATATGTATATATTTAGTTTATGTTATGGTGACTGTATAGAAAGCTGTGTCATAATTAAATTATCTCTAATCCAGTTATGCGAACAAATCTATACCAGTTGTTTCTGTTCTTTTTGAGAGGTGTAAGACTGAGCCTGTCCACACGTGTCCGTGCTAATCAAACTGTTTCACTGCAGGCAGATGGAGGGGAATTAATTTCTGTATCACGGATATGCTCTGTGGACTTGAGGACATCAGTGTCTCGTGGGCTCGCCATCAAGTCCTCACTGTTGCAGTTTACAGGCGAACCAATGTCTGAGGAACGTTCCCCAGGCTTCTCAAGAGTCCCCTGCACGGTGTTAGTAGACAAAGGTAAGTTCATGCTGTAAAACATGCTCCCCATGCGCTTCGACACCTGTGGCAGAATAAAGAAAGTTGACACAATTCTTTACGTTTAGTTTTTGCGAATATGTTTGTATGCTTGAAGCAAGCAACCTTCTTCTTCTTGCACACAACAACCCCCATTTTTTTTATTTATCACATGGTGGTGACTTTCCAAACTTTTTTCACCTGTGATCGGATCTTAAGTGCTGGCCCCAGCTTGAGACCCAGTGTGTCGAGCAGATGCTCCTCTGAGAGCAGTGGTAGTGTTTCTCCATCGATCATGTGGTCCTTGAATGTCTGCACATGGGAATCAACTCTCATTAGCAAAACAGACACAACAGTAAACAGGTAGACTTGTTCAACAAAACACAAACCTGGGCATATTCTGAGCATGTGGGTATACTGTTGATAAAGTTGTAAACATCATGGACCGTCCACTTTCTTATGTCCTCAGACACATCATCCCCATTAAGAAAAACATTCCGTGAACCTGGCAATATATAAAAACAACTGTTTATATCCATATACCTCGCATTGTTTTGAATTGTATTTGTAATTATTTGCATAACTCACCAGTTGGGAGGAAACTGTTCCCTGGGACTGGAAACATGTAAGGCATCCCTGTGAGGCCTCCACCTGCTGAGGGATACATGAACGAGGGACATTGGCTGGATATGTCTTTATCTGTTGAGCCACCATTGGTCCCATCAGTGCAAGTGTCTTGATTGGTCACACCGGCTTTCCTCAGGTTTGCCTCCCCTTCTTTATAATTCTTCCTGTTTCCTGTGGTAAGTTCAGAGCCTATTTTGGTTTGGTGATTTGTTTTACTGGCCACACAGTCCTCTCCCATGTCCCCTTTTGGCTCCGCTTCCTTCTCCTCCCCTGATGTGGCTCCTGGGCTTGCACTTTTATCTTCACTTTGAATCTTGAGGTTGGCAGCATGACCCTCAGCACTCTTGTGGGCTGTGGGTCTCCTGCCAGCCCTGCGTCCTCTCTCTCTATGCAGCGTGCTAATTGGTGGATATGGGCTGGTAGACATGAGTATGTTGTTGGATTGAAGATCGTCCATGGTGGGGCGGTGGACAAAGACGTCATGTCCATCTGGCATGCGCTGACGACACCTCAAAGCCATGTGGTTGGAGGGATAAGACATGGGATTATCGATTCCTAGAAGTCCTTTCCGGTGGGCATTTTCTAGCTCCTTTTGATGCAAGATGGCATTCATCTCCATCCTGGGCCACATGATAATGTATAAAAACACATTATCTAACTTTTCTTGCAAATGCTGTAATTCTGAATGAAATTGTGTTTGCAAAAAATATGATGCAGATCAAGAACACATTAAATGTTTTGTAAGATGCTACTGACTTTCTACAAACCCCACCTGGCAATATTTTGCTTATGAATGAGCTCCTGACGACGAGCAACTGTTTCCACTGGCTCCGTAGACAAGAAGCTGTAGCCGGCTATGAGAAGAAGAAAAAAATATTCTTAAATAATCTGATTTAAAAATGTAGAACCATAAATGTGCATAATTGTGTAATGCATTATATCTGCTCACCTGTTCCAGGGAAGCCTCTTCCTGGTAGGACATTGGCATGTGGTGTCAGAGGTGGACCAAGGTGAGGCCCCATGTGCATTTGTCTGGCCTCAGAAGACACCACCTCTGTTGGAGGAACCAACTCCCTGTAAAGAGAAACACAAGAAGGTTTCCCTTACATATAATAATGTGGGTTATTTTTTTAGATATGAAAAAAAAAACCCACTGCACACCTCTCCATGAAGTGAGGTTCAAATTGCGTTGGAACTCCTTGTAACCTCTGCTCCCCCTGGGCCAGAATCTGAGGAGCCATGGCCATCTGGTTCCTTATCATTAACTCCTGTCTCTGTCTTAGCTCTGCAAGAGAAATCACCATTGATGGCATATAAATCACTGACATCAGTTTGATGTTTTCAACACTCAGCTTTTTTTTCCTCTGTTTGTTTTTTCCTACCTCCAGCAGACATGCCGTTAACCAGACGATACCAGTGTTTCTCATCCAATCCCCCCTGTTCTCCCAGTGCTGTCATTTTCCTCAGTTGCTCCCTCGGAGTCATGATTCACCACCTTCAAACTCTGAGGTAAATAAAACCAACATAGAAAACTGAACATTTACCATTTATTATACACACATCTAAATTCAAACTCTTTGTGATAAATCAGAAAAACTAATACAATGCTTGAAAATCCTCGTCAGTACCACTAGAGGTCGGTAGTTCATTTCAAGCAAAGTTATTTACAGCATCAGGTGACATTTTGCATCTTTATTCGTTTCAAACTTAACTGACCTAAAAAATAAGTCAATAATATAAATAAATAGTTTCGATATGCAGTGTTACATGTAACAGACAGCTTTTATATTAATTATACCATGTGCAAAATTTGTTGAAAGAAAAACGACTTATTCAAACATAGTAACAAGCAATATCTATAGGTGAGACAACCGGCTCTGTACACCTTCATATGTAATTTAAAAATTATAAATATACATAGGCCTAACACTTCTTCTTCCCGTCTCCCCCTGTCTATCTGTGCTGTTAGATTTGCCTCCAGCCGTGTTGCATTACCAGCAGCCCCTCAAGTTGCCATTGAAATCTTACTAATCTAAAAGCTGTAATCCCTTCATTAGTCCTGCAACAGTCTGCTAGATACATCTGCTGACCTCATGCCCTGCTGGACCGTCCAACTCCTCACAGTCCCACTTTGCCAGGCCCCTGCTCCCCCGACAATCCTATTAGCTAATTCCTGAATATACAGCACTTTAAAGGGATGTGTTGGAGGTAATCCCCATGTCTAGAGTTTTACCCTCAGCAAACCTGTACTGTAAGCACGGCGAACAATACACCCTAAGTGCTAAGCCCATTAGGCTCCGTTAGCTCGCAGGATGTCCTAAAAACACCCTGAGGATAAATGTGGGGATGCAATCGGTTTAGGTGGAGCTATTTGGTGTGAACACATGTTGCCTGCCTGGCAACTACAACAGCTAGCAGCAGCACATATGGGGGCATATGTTTCTGTGTTAAGTCTCCAGGGCTAATGTGAAGCCTTGTTCCTGTTACACATCCTCCACTAAAATAAACACTGGCATCTGATTGAATTCCTGGAAAAATACTTTGATCTGATTAAATCTAAAAACAAATAAATACAAAAAAAAGATATAGGATTGACCTCTGACCTCCACAGCAGATTATAATACCAAAGATGAGACTTTTCACTTAAAAATCAAACACATGCATCAGTCAGTGTGCATGTTGTATCCAGCCACAACTCAGGTGTAGTCTTTGCTCATTTCTTATTTTATAAAACACATGAGTTGCTCAACCGTCTGTGGTTCCTCTTTTTGTGCTGGACATTTACAATTGAAGACTGGTCTGGAACACAACCGGGTCAGAAGACACACACAACAGAACTCCAATGAGGCTTTAAGTAAAATATTTTTGTCAAATAGATGTTGTAAAATATGGTAAAAATAAATTAGTCGCAAACAGAGGATGTGCCACAGCTGCCAATTGCAGGGATTAGACACCTTGGATTTTCTGCTGCCTGGTTAATCCCATTACAAGAATGAAAAAATGCTGACGACTTAGTTGAAGCTCCGAGGAGGTCATTTCAGACAAGACAGAAGAATTGTCTGGTGCTTGTTAATCCAATGACATAATTACACACATTTACTTAGATTTAAATAATAGTCCATTTAATTCTGTATATTACTATTATTATTATTATTACACTTAGAGATTAGGTTAATAATTTTACATAATTAAATCAAATGTTGACTTTTTAATATAGGTTTACATAGTCCAGTTTAATGAGATTAAATGTATACTTTTATGAAGTTATTAGTTCCTTTATGTTAATTCTCCTCTTGTAAGTCGCCTTGGATAAAAGCGTCTGCTAAATGCATAATTGTAAATGTGATCTCATTGGGATTATTTAGTTACACACTCTTTTCTTTTGTCATACACTAATTCTGAAATGCATAGATTTTAACTTCATCATAAAGGAATAAATTCTACTTGTATTAACTGACAGCAGTAACAGTTAAGATACGATAAGTATGTCGATGAAAGATCGACTTACCTGCTCCAAACTCTTTCTGTTTTCAGGTCAAAAAGGACAAGAAGACTTGAAGTGATCGGAGATCTGTGAAGAGTTTGTTCTTCAGATATCACTGACAGTCAAACAGCCTCCGTCAGTATCCACCCAGAGTGAGTGAAGTCTAATTGCAACTATCTGCCTTAACTAAAAGAGACCTTTTAAATACAGATTCATTTCATCTCCATTAGCCGACCTTATCATCTGCCTTAAGTCCTCCTGTCCTGACATCACAGTGATCTCCATCCAACTGCTTGCTACGAACTGCAACTGTAATTACTGAAGCAGCAATGGTCCTGAGCATTAAGTGCTAAGCCGCTCTCAACGTTTACCTCACTAATCCCTTGTTAGCACTTTAGGCCTTAGTTAAGACACCTAAATGCTCAGCTTCCTTTTCTAGTAGCAAAATAACCAGCCTTTCCTTACGACAGCATGGAAAATACTCACAGTTAAACCATTCTGCTTGAAGAAAACTTTTCAAAACAGTTTTGTTTTGAGGCGGGGTGTCAGTGGTCCTCTGCAGTTCAGGACTCAATGTTGGCCAGATTATCCTTTCAGTCTTATCATTTATGCAACTTGCACTGTGTTATGGTAGGTCTTAATAAATCTAAGGCTAACATTGTTGAAGGGAGAGAACACAGGACTGACTGAAAACACATAGAACTGTAAGTCCTTCAAACATTATTACCTGGTCCATCATAGTATGTGGTTTTGCGTTCACGTCACAAAAATAATGCCCTTTAACTGCATTTTCTTTATTTCCCCTTTCATTATTGCAAGTAGTTAATTTAACAAGAGTCTTTTCAGTCTGTTCACTCCGATCACGTGTCTGACACTTTGTTGTCTCTGTTATATCTGTCAATATAGCTTATGTTACATCATACTGTAGGAGTTAGTCACCATTGAATTGATCTAAAATAATAAAATATCATGATTACATCCTTAATGCAAAATAATTACATCTTCAAATGGCTAATAATATAATATAATCAATGGCATGCATACATGACATTGATGCACAGGTTTATATAAGAATCTTAAAGACAGAGCAATGAAACTGCGGTTCTGTATCATTATACATCATTGACACATCAGAACCAAACAGCTCATCACATGGAGAGCACAAGGACACAGTGACATTGAGTTATTTAGAAAGACAGAAACTTACCATTGGACTTAGAAACTGACAGATCAGAGCATTAGGAAAAGGTAAACCCCTAATTTAGGAATCTGCTGCGTGTAAGCTTTTTATGAAGGATTTACATCAAGTATTACAGAGTCACCGTGAGGCAAAAGGATCAGAGCGAGCTAAACCTCGACAAACAGGATTGTCTCTTAGTCCAGTGGGTCAGTGCAGACGTAGACACCCTCCAACCTCTAATTACAGAAACAACCCACCATTCAGATCACCTGCACTTCCTCTGGTTCTGCTGGTCTTCATCAGAAGAACCTTCATGCCCTGAACTGTGGATGATAATCTGGTTATTATTATTATTATTATTATTGGTTGCACTGTTCTTACCAAGAAGTTAGAACAAGCTTTGTTTTTATTTACAATGTAATAGTTAATATGAATATATCTATATAATAATTTATAATGATTAACACAGTCTGTTCTGGCCTCCCTCCTGCCTGTTAATCCATCTTCTATAGTAATCATTTATTATTGAGGGCTGGTGCGGGGGGCACTTGAGTCCCCCTCCTGCCTGCCCCTCTCCCTGTAATCTGTCTCTCTGTTTGCACCTGCCCCCTCTGTTTCCTTGCTTCCTTCTCGCCTCTCTTAGCCAATCAGCCTCGGCCCCTCTCACCTCTACTCCCTTATTTTCCATTCGTCCGTGTGCTTTGTTTTTTTGTTTTTTTTGGTGATTATTTGAGTTAAAATAGCTGAAAAAACTCAGATTTCTGCCTTGCTGCATCAGATCCTCATCTCCTGCATTATTTAATCCATATGATGTTGAATGTACTGTTGTGCCATGGTATTTTCCTACTATGTTTTTACAGAGTACATCTGTGACGTTAGCAAACATGTCTCCTGGAAGTATATTAAATATTTGACTTCACTGGGACCTTCAAAACACTTTAGTCCCAACTACACAGACCTGTCAATCACCTGTCTCTGTGGGAGGCCTCTTTAAACAATAAAGACCTGAACAGGTGCCAATTCTCTCACACACAGTCTTGCATAAACAAAGAGGAGGAGCTGCCGTCTGCTCACTGACCAATAAAAAGCCCCGTCAAAACACTAATTGTCACTGCCCCTTGGTGACTCAGGTGAGTAAACTGCTGCAGCAGCTGTTTTATATGTTAACATTATAATGCCTTCAGTGCATGTCACATTATAACACTAAAACACTGCTTTTATTTTGAAGGTTGTGAAGTAGAGATGAACGCTTTCCAGGTAATTTCCATCGCTTTGCTGTCCGTCCTGGCGGCTAATGCTCAGGTCATCGCACCTGGAAGATGCCCCAAGCCTGCTGTTCAGAAAGACTTTGACACCACCAGGGTGAATATCACACAATATGTTGTTTTCTTTTTATCCTTATTTATGAAAAGGTCTCATCATTTACAACTGTGTGGGTCTTGTTTATATTTAACACAAAATATAAAATAACTAATGTCTGGGTGTTTTAAAATTATTAACCTGACATTTGTCTTTTCTGCACTTTCAATTTCAGTATCTTGGTAAATGGTATGAGATCCAGAGACTTCCAAACCTTTTCCAAAAGGGAGATTGTTGCACTGCCACCTACAGCCTGAAGAGCCCTGGAGTGGTGGGTGTCCTCAACAGCGAGCTGCTGTAAGTACCATGTTCATGAGTTCAAAGAAATCACAGAGATTCTGTAGATGTGCAGTAGAATTATGTTTATCATTAAAGTGGGTGATACCATTAATTTATTATATTACTAGAAAGTACAATCAAACTCTGTCTTGTGTAGCCTTACTCCTGTCCTAACCAACATTATCTTTAAATCAGATACTACTTTATAGACTGCTGTGATCTGCCTTATAAACATATACCACTTCACCTGCATTTCTTTCAGTTCTGATGGCAACATTAGCTCTGTCGTTGGCACCGCTGTGACTGCAGATCCATCTGAGCCTGCCAAGCTGCTCGTCTCCTTCTTTGAGAGTAACTGCACCTAATTTACACCAACACGTTCTCTCCCACATGATCACCGTTCTCATGTTTTTGGTTATTGTCGTTATCAGTTTCATTTGGTAAACTGACTTTGCTTTTCTGTCCCACCACCAGACTCTCCTCGTGGTCCCTACTGGGTTCTGTCCACCGACTACGACAACCACGCCCTGGTGTACAGCTGCACCGACGCCGGCCTTTTCCATGTGAATTTCGCCTGGATCCTGAGCAGGCAGCCCACCCTCCCTGAGGAGACCCTGGAGGATCTCAATGGCATTCTGTCCTCCATTGGTGTCAAGTTGGACAAGCTGATCACCACCAACCAGGATGCAGCGACCTGTAGTGTCATGCAGCAGTAAACACAGTGAGAGGGATGTATTTACTGTGACACTGCAATGCTAATGCAATAAAATCAATAAAACAAAAGTCCTGGTCACAGTGTCTGCTGCGGTACTGTACCTGCAGTGCTTTGTTGTTCTTTGTCAGTTCATGGAATCAAACTCTAAACCCTAAAATTTTGCTGTAAGAACTCTGTGAATGTGAGGACATTATCAAAACTGACATAAGAGAAATGTTTCACCCAGAACCAAACATATACTACTGTAAAAGCTGCACCAAATCCTCAAAGAGATACCAAATTAAATTGTCCAATTAGATCTAATTTATTTAGCCAATGCCTTTGTTAAATCAGAGCTAAGTAGGGCATGTCATTTTCAAGTCAAACTTGTTGATTCCACTCTATAATCTGCTATTTTCTAAGTTGTTTTTATACCATTTTGTGAAATGTTTTACTTGCAAATCTTTACTTGTAAAATCTATATTTTTTAACTTTTTTTTTTTTCATTTTGCAACAGTTGTCCTGGAATTCTCCTGTGACTCCAATTTGCTAATAGTTTGCTTTATGTCCAGAATAAGGCTGGAGGCACAAAGGCGTCCATTGATGACACAGAGTGGCAGTGGTGTAAAACCTCGTGGAAAGCAATGTCTCTAATTCAAACAGCAGCATTTTGGAGAGAAGGCAACACAAGAAGTCTGAACTGCCAGGACACAGAGGTGGGAAAACATATCAGTTAAGATTATAGTTTCATATTTATACCTGTTCATACACTGATACTTTCTGTGCAGCCTTCAGTTTGTCACCTTCTTGATTCACATATTTTGCAGACGGAGACCTGACTCAACATGAAGTTATCTGTTGCTCTGGCTCTAGCATGCATTCTTTCACTCACCACAGCCCAGGTTCCCCACTGGGGCCCGTGTCCAGAACCTGCCGTTCAACCTGGTTTCAACCTCAGACAGGTAAAAAAACTTGCTTATATGTAGAACAAGAATTGTATTGAAGTTGGTAACAATGTAAATATGTGCAGTACTTGTAGTTTTACTCACTGTCCACTATATTGTAGGTCAATTCTCCAATTAGTTAAGCATTTAATCGTTATTTAATCGTTGATGCCCATGATGCTCATAATTTATGCTCAGTTAAAATTTATTTTTTAAGTGCTGTCAACTGCCTTTGAATTTGTGTGTTTGTTTGTTGTTTTTTTTTGTCTCAGTTCATGGGCCGTTGGTTTGAAATTGAAAAACTCCCAGCTCAGTTTGAGAAGGGACGCTGCATTGAGACCAATTTCTCCATGAGAACGGACAACTCCATACGTGTGGTCAGCTCTGAAATCCTGTGGGTACATCCTCCTGTTTTTTGGTGCCAATGTTGAATATAGAACTTATTTCATGTCTTTTAAATGAGCTTCTTAAAATATAAAATGGAATCTAATTCCCTTCTTAATCAGTAAAGGAGAGCTGAGAAAAATTGAAGGCACTGGCGTCATCGAGGACATGAAGAATCCAGCCAAACTGGGAATCAGCTACTCCTACGGTGAGCATGTTTGTTGACTGATGTATTGATGCATTTGTGTTGCTGTGCACTTTCTATAAGATCCAGGCAAATTACTTATGTGTGTAAGGGTTCCCTTTTTTAAAAATAATACCGTTTGGTTGCACACCCAGCCCACGTAAACCTATCTGGAACAAATGCTTCACTTCCTGCTCATGGTCTCCCAGAAATGAACTATATTTAAATTAAATATATTTCTTTCTATCTCACGTCTTCACCACAGTGCTGCCCTTCTCTCCTTACTGGATTCTGTCCACTGACTATGTGAACGTGGCCCTAGTCTACTCCTGCACTGACATCCTCAGGCTCTTCCACGTCGACTTTGCCTGGATCCTGGGCCGAACAAGAACCCTCCCTGAAGCCACGCTGCAAAAAGCTAGGGATACCTTCTCTAACAATAACATCGATGTTACTAGAATGATTACCAGTAAACAACAGGGTTGTGACAAAACCCTCTGAGCAATATCGCAAACGCACCACAAGACGGCGCTGTTGTTGATAAGGTAGCAGAGGAGCGCTCCTTTTGGATGAATCCTTTCACTCAAACGTGTTGTGTCAACTGTTAAGTAGTTTGTGTTGTTAGGGAACAGTTTTTTCCTAATTTTGATAAATATAATGCGGATGTTTTAATGCAAAACATATAAATATAATAGTTTTTTCAGTTATTGCTGCTTTGGTGAATCTAAAAAGTGTCTTTCTGCTTTTCTTAACATCTTAATAAAGGAAGTCAATATTTTTTAACCCTAGTAGGTAAAATAAAACTGATGCTGCCACATTTGACACAGCTTTATTTTTCAATGGTTTAGTTAATAAAACAAATTTCCCCTTGATTGATAAAGTCACTACTTTGTTTACTTTTTTAACAAAATGTGGGTATTTTGAGTCTCTTTTATTGCTGATTCTTATTATGCTTGATTTATTGTCGCTGTTTGTTTTGGTTTTTTGCAAACCAGTACAAGAGGCGGAACCTTTGTTTCTTCTCTTAAATTTGCGGTCGGAATTATTTCCACATGAACCTATTTCTATAAGTCTGAAGTTAAG